TATATAGTTCCGGATTATGTAGATTTGAGAATCGAAGTGAGTTGAAATTTATAGTCACATCGGCAATATTCCAGCCATATTTTGGAGAATAAAAGGAATATGTCAATGAAAGTTAGCACTTCAGCAGGAGTGCCTAGTCAATATATTGAACCATATGTGACATTAATGGTGGTCATTCCAATCAGATTTCAAATATGGTCACCAGATTGAAAATGCCAGTTTTACTCATTGATCATTTATTTCTGCAGTGATTAAGCAGAAATTTGGTATGTAGGATTGGTACGGCCCTGATGTTTCGTTTTGATCTAGATGAGCTACAGTGACTTGGAAACTGCAGTAAGACCAACTTTCCAGGGCAACAATTCTAATAATGTTAAAGATTTATTAAAAGAATAAGGCATTGCATATTCAGTTTGACAGGTGTGCAGTTAAATAATTGGAACTTTATTTTTCTGCATAACAGTTTTGATGTTAATGAAAATTAATATCATATTCAACTATGTTTTAGGAGCTGTTCTCAAAAATCCCAACAGAAAAACAGCAACAGAAAAAGAAGCTCACAGTGAGATGATGCTTTGGCTGAGAAATTCAGGGGACAGGGACGGGGGCCGTAAGAAGAGGCTACTGGCTAAGGAGGCTGCGGTCACCACTCGCGATAACATGTCTGTAACTACAATATGCTGTATATGAACTCAGAAGATATAAAAGATGTTTTACTTTATCCCTTTTGTTTTCCTTTTGGCATGTTTAGCAAATTGAATACAGCGGGGTTTTGCTTCCAATTAGTCACATTAGTGACATGTTTTATAGATGAATCCTAGCACTGTATCAATTGTTGAACTCGTGCCAGTTAACAGTTTGCTGTTATAAAATTTTAAATGTCACCGAGATTCCTTTGGGGGGAACAATGGACATAGTTCGTGTACATTTGCACTGTCTATTTACATCATGATACATGAAATTTTGGGTGCATCCTCTGATGGAGGCGCGTCGCCTCGCTCACAGTGCCCACAGCTGGGTGGCCATGGACTGGAGCAATGTAGATTTAGTCTCCTTGGTCAAGGCTGACGCAAGTCTAGTGTGGTTTCATACAAAAGGGTCCAGAATGTACCAGTACACAAAATCTCATACGGGGCCAGTGCAAGACCAGTACACTGCAAGTACAACGCCAGTGTGTTGCTATTTGTACTGGGCCATTTCCACGCCAATGTGCAAAACGTTACTGGTCCGGTACTGAGATCCGTTATCAAACCTATATCCTGGTCTTTATAATACCAGTACGGGCCCAGTAGTGTCATGTTAGCTGGTCCAGCAATTTTGTGACGGTAGCCTTAAGTATACAGGGTGGTTGGTCTAACAATCGTGTGACTATAGCGTTATGTATACAGGGTGGCTGGTCCAGCAATCTTGTGACTGTAGCCTTGTTTATACAGGGTGGTTGTTTTAGAAATCGTGTGACTGTAGCGTTATGTATACAGGGTGGTTGGTCTAACAATCTTGTGATTGTAGCCTTATGTATAGAGGGTGGCTGGTCCAGCAACTTTGTGACTGTAGCCTTAAGTATACAGGGTGGCTGGTCCAGCAATCTTGTGACTGTAGCCTTGTGTATACAGGGTGGCTGGTCCAGCAATCTTGTGACTGTAGCCTTGTGTATACAGGGTGGCTGGTCCAGCAACTTTGTGACTGTAGCCTTAAGTATACAGGGTGGCTGGTCCAGCAATCTTGTGACTGTAGTCTTGAGTATACAGGGTGGCTGGTCCAGCAATCTTGTGACTGTAGCCTTGTGTATACAGGGTGGCTGGTCCAGCAATCTTGTGACTGTAGCGTTATGTATACAGGGTGGCTGTTCCAGAAATCGTGTGACTGTAGCCTTGTGTATACAGGGTGGTTGGTCTATCAATCGTGTGACTATAGCGTTATGTATACAGGGTGGTTGGTCCAGCAATCTTGTGACTGTAGCCTTGTGTATACAGGGTGGTTGGTCCAGTAATCTTGTGACTGTAGCCTTGTGTATACAGGGTGGTTGGTCTAACAATCGTGTGACTGTAGCGTTATGTATACAGGGTGGTTGGTTCAGCAATCCTAACCCTAACCCAAGCAACGATGCTGATCAATCTGAAACCCATAGCTACACGGAACAGTAAGTCAAGGTCTCTGACTCCTAACTGAACCATGGGTGTAACGAATCAACGAAGTAGAAATTCATCGGGACCCTTGGACCCGAATTGTGAATTACATATATCCACAAAAGGATGTTGATAAACCAGAACACATATGGAAACAGTATTTGGGTTGGTCCAGTTTGGGGGTTTAACTCATGATAAACCCTTACCGGGTTCGATCCCAAGTGTCTATACTATTTCTTCAGTAACTGATCTTCTTTATACAGGTTGTGTCTTTGCAAGCGTATCATATTGAATTTGTTGTTTAACTCCGTGCACATAATTAATCCAGCTAGCGGACAGTTATAAGGCTGGTACACATAGTCCGGTGACTGACAACAGCATTGATCTACGCTTCAGGTAAATCAGCAAACCTGACCATCCGATCCCGTTTGTCTCCTCTGCCGTAGACCAAACGCCATGCGTATCATCGGAGCAGATACACCTTCTGAAGCCTACTGCGTGCGTAGTATAACTCGCGTGGCCCGGATAAACCTTGTATAAATTTTTAACAATTTGTGGAGTAAAACGAGTCTAGGTCCACTCACTCCTTCATTCCTTGGTATTCCTAGTGTTTCCTTAGAGCAAATTACTCTCATTTACGTCACTCTATCACAGAACCCGTACACTTGCCGTAACGGCACGAATGGCTAATTTATCGGAATATCTATACATATACAGTAGGATATTGTGCCTACAAATCCGGAAATAATACTTCGGTTTGAAATGGTCTGTTTTCGATCTCATAATTGCAAAGAATGAAAAAGGGTTTTCGATACGTCTTCAATTGTGCAATGTTTGTTTTATATTATAACTTTGTTAGGTGACCACAGAGTAGCAGACGACATTTCGTTTCAGTGGTTTGTCAAGGCCGAATTAGACCGCCGTAATCGTCTATATTAGTGAGATTGCATCTGCTAAGGAGTTGCATAATTTGACAAGTATTCCAATGTTAACAGTTCATAATATTCTGCAGAATTTTAGCACTGTTCGCGATGCGTACCGTAATAAGTTTGGTACAAATCAACAATTTTTGTTACACAACCGACATCGCAGCGGACAGCTTGCCCTCGCTCATCCGATGTGGTCATCTAAGCAAATACTTTTTGAAGTGAAAAGGAGAGAGGGACATTTGGCATAGCAGTTGTCCTTAATAATAGACGTAATTCAATTCCCATGACGCCCCACACAGCCAGCTTCGATGAAAGTAAAACTGGAGACAGCGTCGTCATTAAAATGACGTTATCAAAGTTCACATTAATCCCTCCATGTACGCATGTGTCATCAGTGGATTTTTTCTTGGAACAGATTTCCGGCAGCCAATGCCCTTGTATAAAGTTAGAGCCGCTTGTGGAGTAAAACGACATCCACTCACTCATTCATTTCATTATATTGTTTGAGTTCCTTAAGAGAGAAAGGTCACTGGCAACTGAAAAGCGTGGGGCGGCATTTCCAAGATGGGAATTAAATTATGTCTATTATTCATGTGGAAGACAATGTCAAAATACACAGTTATTCAGGTGGAACCTCCTATTGGCGTGGGAGCGGTGGGGTAGCCCAGTGGTTAAAGCGTTGGCTAGTCACGCCGCGGATCCGGGTTCGATTCCCCACATGGGCACAATGTGTTAAGCCCATTTCTGGTGTCCCCTGCCGTGATATTGCTGGAATATTCTTAAAAGCGGCGTAAAACTAAACTCAGTCAGTCCTGTTGGAGTATCCCAGCTGTGTTGTGAAATCAAAAAAAGTCAAGGTGCTGGATTTTCCGCCCGCTTCACCCAACTTGAAACACAATTCAAGTGTGCAGTATTGTTTGATAAAGACAATAATAAAACCCGGAAATCTTGTGTATTTGAGAACAACCAAGACTGACTGACTGACTGAGTTTGGTTTTACGCCGCTTTGCTGCCATGTTCATAGTCTCCATGGGGCATGCTGTCAGGTTAAGTCACACTCAGCATGGCTTATGCTGCCATGCTCATAGTTTCCATGGGGCATGTTGTCAGGTTAAGTCACACTCGGCATGGCTTATGCTGCCATGTTCATAGTCTCCATGGGGCATGCTGTCAGGTTAAGTCACAATCTGCATGGTTCGTGTTGCTTGACTTCACCTTTGCTTGCTCTGTACCGGGTCCTCTTAAAAATATGGAGAACGAAAACTTTCATCGCATAAGAAATTTGCAACTTGTTTCCAAAATCTCTCCCGTTTCGCTTCCGATTGTGGGAATGAAAGGGTAAGCCCTATCCTAAAGAGTTCTGTTAGTCTTTTTGAGTTGTCATAAAGAATGTTTAGAACCCTTGTCCTGTTCCGGGAATTGGCTCCACACACTATACCTGCTTCATATTCTTCCCACTCACTGTCTCCAAGACACCTATCTCTTATGAGTGTATCAATCTTTATTTCATACTGAAAGGCCACAGGCCTGTAGTACATTGTTTAATCATGTGCGGGTAGTAGAGCATTCTTTCTGAGAATAAAAGCTTTATGAATATATATGGACAATCTTTTTCAAAATGTGTTTTACTGGAAATATTCATCAACTTATGCGTTTCAGGATGTACATAATAATATTTCTTTATATATCTATTTCTTAACGATAGGTATGCTGGGCAAACACATAAAAGTGAAACTCATCTTCGACCTCGTGTAAGTTGCACATTTGGCAGATTCTACTTTCTTTCTCAATACTTTGGTATCTCCCAGTTTCAACGCATAAATCATGCGCGGAGCAGCGGAATCTCGCCAATGAAGATTTATATTTCCTTATGGTCAAGACAGAAAGATAATGTTCTGTATATATGGAATCTTTTATCATTTTGTAGTTAAAACATTTATTAGATATTGAGAGACTAGTTAACCAATTTTGACGGAATATATCTTTAAGTCTTTGTTTAACTGTACAGACAAAGTGAGAATGAGATTCTACAAATTGTTCATGCCAGGCATTGCCGAAGCCGATAGATGATAATAACTGTTTTATGTATGTTACCCAATGACGTTTCCCATGGCTATCATATAGTATCATCATTTCATAACATTTTCTTGGCAATCGGTGTGAGGGCATTGTTAATAACTTCAACCAATATCTAATAATTTTTACATTTGATTCTATGTACAATGGATATCTTCCACAGAACCGGAAATGAGACAGTTCCTTGTGATCTAGTATCTCTTTCACAAAGGCAATGCTTACTGTAGAATACAACACATACGCATCGAACACAAAGCGTCTCGGCTGTTCAAACTCATGTGTCGCCCCTGTATGTCGAGCCCATCTGTTCTTCAGATTTTTGTAGAGACGTGTGAAGAATCCATTCCGATGGTAGTAGGCATACAGACCCAGGGTGCCGTTGTACAATGCAATCTTAGCGCTAAGGTGACCGTAACTCCAATACCATAACATAGGCTAAGGTATCCTTAGCGCTAAGGTTGTTTTGTACAACGGCATCAAGGTAATCAACAGGAGATGTGACGACAGATTTCCTGGTGTTCCTGTCTGTTCTTCTGTTGTGGGTCCTCCTGCAGTGCTGTACAAATACCTCTCCTATTCTCCTTGATCGGTCAGCCCTCGACTGTCTCTCTCCTGAGTCAATATCCATTGGAGCATCAGCGATGCCTGAAAATGAGGCAATACGTTTGGTTAATGCGTTTCCCTTGTGTTAACTTTTATAGATTCAAAGAATTGCCATTTTTAGAGAATAGAATATACTGACTGGCAGTGTGTTGGGGAAGAAAGTGTCCTGGGTTATGTCAGGGCATCTGATCTCAATGGTTGCCATTTATGACAAACGTATAGGTTCCTGAAAGCCAGTTCTAACTAGGGTATCTTCAGTGGCGAACGGCGGTTGAATTCCGAAGTGTGTGGTCACAATGTGCCGTGACCTCTTATATGTCATCGGTGGGGATCCATGCTCATTCTGTCAGCCACTGGTGTACGTTACACACTATCACTTAGATGGGATATTGCTTTCTGTGGCATATAAAAACATTCACTAAGTCACTCAAAGATACACTCACCGTCAACACTTTCGACGTCATCCATGCAGGCGACGTCCGTGAGGGTGGCGCTGAGGGTGTCACTGTCGCAGTGACAGTCAAACTTGGTGACATCTTGTAAGCGCGCGTCTTCGTAGAAGCCAGGACACTGTTCCTTCAGAGCTGCAAGGATGACGTCATGGGGAACATTCTTACAGATCATGTCCCATTTATCTTCTTTACTAATTCCACTTGTTTTTAAGTTACTGTGCACGTTCACGGTGATACATTCCTTTCCTAAGAAGATGTCTGCAAGTCGTTTTGGGTCAATTCTATTTCTTGTCTGACACACACTGCATATGGTGGGTTCAGGCATTGCCCAGTTTACCCACACGGCTGTCCGCAGTTCTTCATACACTGACTGAGGACAGGATGAAGATATTATGGGCAGACCCTTCTCCACGAACTGCCCAAACGAAAGCGTATCCTGAACAATTCTGAGAATAGCCTCAGCTTGCATCTTCCCATTTGACATTGCTGCTATTGATCTTACGTCGCAGTCCTCGATGGCGTTTATTTCGTCCAACTTCTCCAACAATTCCGGCCCTCTTCCTTGTAAGTAAGTCACCAACAGGCGATGTACCCGTTGAAGACCAGTCCTGTGGGCATGGCAGTTTGTACCTAGAATTATTTAGTGTATAGTAAATATGAAAGTAAAACGACATTCATTGCTATGTGGTAAAAAGGGCAGGAGTGTTGAGTGAGTGAGTGAGTTTAGTTTTACGCCGCACTCAGCAATATTCCAGCTACATGGCGGCTGTCTGTAAATAATCGAGTCTGGACCAGACAATCCAGTGTCCAACATCATGAGCATCGATCTGCGCAATTGGGAACCGATGACATGTGTCAACCAAGCCAGCGAGCCTGACCATCCGATCCCGTTACTCGCCTCTGACGACAAGCATGGGTTACTGAAGGCTCATTCTAACCCGGACCTTCACGGGTCCAGGTGTGTTGAGACATATTTGGAGCTATGAATACAAGTTCTGATCTGTATCTATCTTAAGCTTGCTATCCTAACTTCCAGTGGAGCGGCAAACAACATATTTCTATCTTTACTACTGCTAATTCCAGTAAGGATTAATGTTTGTACCAGGTTACAATGTTTTGGAGTTCCGTGTCATGGTGGGTGTCCAGTTGCAGGTGCTTGTCGAAATACCCGCCTGATATGGGTGTCAGACTCGGTGACCTGGCTGATGAAGCTTCACTATGCCCCCAAAGCATGGGACCTTGCATTTAGTCACCGGAATTGGTCCGGTGCTAGATATATTAACAGACTACCAAAATATATTTGCCCTGTTATACAATATCCAATCATCCATTTCCTTGTGAGTTCGAAATGTCGGCTTCGCAAGTAGAAGAAGATGCTATAACACTATTCTCCGGGTGCCCATAACTGACCATACATAATTCAAAATCTTTCAAAATATATCGAAGATGATTCAGAAGGCCTTGTTATTCAGATGTTTGCTAGGCATTTAGAAGTTGGTAGGGTAATACAATACACTTGATATGGATGTGCAACTTCTTTATCATTATTTATAATAAAGATGTTGCACATCCACATCAAGTGTATTGTATTAGCCTTGTTATTCTTCAAATTGACTCATTTTAACCAAATGCAGAAATGTAACTTTCGTTTTCATTATACAAATTAATTTTGAGCATTTGGTGACACCGGGTGTTAAATGCAATATTTTATTGACCGGATTCATTGAAAAGAAGCGTGTGTCACCTTGGTAAAATGTCAGAGCACGTGTATGGCGCTGACAAATCTAAACCTGAGGCCTATTATGTCTTGAGGGCAACTGGGGAACGCAACTTTGCATATGTGATTACGACAAAATGTTCCATTTACGTCTATGTTGAATTCAAGGTATAATAAATCTTCATCCATCGTTACTGCTGTTGACGTCTTGCTAACAGCTCTCACTCTTATGGAGACAAAATATGTTTGTGCGTATTGTAAATACCTTCATTGGCAGTGTCAGTGTTTCTTTCATCTTGCAGACTTTTAGGAACTGTCTGTTCCGCTGTTCCCATCTCAGCAACCTCAGCCATACCATTTTCTCCCATTGAAACAGGACATCTGCAGACGAATTCGTCGACCCTTCCAAGTTTGAATTCCTCAAAGACACGACACGGAAGAATCTTCTCCAATGCCTCTACGATCTCCCCTGGTCGTTTCACAGTGTCAACGATGCGTGCCCACCTGGATTCAGTACTAAGAGTCTGATTCTTTAGGTCTGAATGTAGGTTGAATGAAATGGCGGTCATCTCAAACAATTCATCTGTAATGTGTCTTGGGTCGACATACGCTTTCACTTGACACACTGGGCATTTGTTGACAGATCCTGGGGGCTCTGAATCCGTCAAATCTCGTAATTTCCTTGCAAGATCTTCCGGCACATATGAGGACAGAGTTGGGAGAAAGGTATCCACAAATTGTTCAAATGCAAACATAATGCAAGCTCGTTTCAGGAAGGCTTCGTTCGCAGCCTTTGTTGACTTTATCCCTGTCATGGAGTCGGCGTCCTCGGCATCGATGACGCCTTGAGCGACAAACTCATCTGACAGGGTGGTGTTCTTGATGTCAATATTTCTAACCAGATCCGTATAGCACGCCTGGATAGCTCTGCGGTGACGGTGGGTATCAACTGTGGACAATGAAACGAAGACAACTAGACTGACTGACTGACTGAGTTTAGTTTTACGCCGCTTTTAGCAATATTCCAGCAACATCACGGCGGGGGACACCAGAAATGGAAGACAACTAGAAAGGCTAAGGAACTAACATACTTGAAACGCTGGAAGGGTCACATACAATGAATAAAATGTGTCCCCACTTACATACACCGAAGACATGTTTAAACAAATAGGATTTAAATTGAATATATAGGGAATTTAGTGGTGGTCGTAAATTTTTATTGGAATTTAAAGATCAATATAAAGAAACATAAAGGGCGACGGCACTGGGGGTCACATATGTAGACAAATTTAAACACATATCTGCTAAAATACTGTGGACATATCTGCTGAAATACTGTGGACATATCTGCTAAAATACTGAGGACATATCTGCTGAAATACTGAGGACATATCTGCTGAAATACTGTGGACATATCTGCTAAAATACTGTGGACATATCTGCTGAAATACTGTCGACATATCTTCCGCTAAAATACTGTGGACATATTTTCCGCTAAAATACTGACTACCAAATAGTCAAATTAAAACAATTCAGAGAAATGGAACCTGTTTTCAATCCCTCATCAAACTAAACGTCTAATACTTTTTTTCAAATAATGGGCCTAATATAAATGTTTTTAATGCGATTGTGGCGTCATCATTAGAACCATATGTGATGTTCCATCTGAGATTGTGTTTGCAATGCGAACTAATGCATTTTGATTTGATTGCATGGTCAAACGCTAAGGTTGATACAATGTCAACATTTGTGACATCACCAAACTGTAACTTGTTCAAATCCACGACAAACTGAATAAACACAAAGTAATATAAATGGCGTTACCAACATGGCGGCCAAACTGAAAATCGGATTCGATGTAGGGCTATTGATAAGAAACTTATCAAGTTCAAATTTCTCTGGACAAGTGGTTTCTAAGGAGCAGATGTAAGCTCAGGAGCATGACGAAAGCTCACTGGACTAAACACTAAAATCGTTTAAATATTCCAAGTTTGTAAAGCAACCTCTTGCTAGAATTCATTCTTCGAGTCATTTACTTAAAAAGGTGACTAACCAACATGACCGGAAGTTGTAGCTGCATTTATGTGAGCATGGAACTCTGCAAGAGCTTGTGTCTCTGCCTCGAGGTACAGTGTTCGAACATCGTCAAGGCAACCCTTCCTTTGCAGCATGACTTCCCCAACATGGCGGTACTTCTCCTCCAAACCTCTCATTAAGTCCACGCCCAGTTGTCTCACGTGATCAGTGGCGCAGTCAGACAACGCCTCTCCGTCCACCAAACTTGCAACCAGGGCATCAAGGTATTCCTGGCGAGCAGTTGACAAGGTGGTCGCCATTGCAGCCTATAGGGACAATTAAAACAGACCAATGCAAGCACATCTGATGATTCATAGAATAATAAAAACTACTATTCAAGATAATTACAAAGAGATCTTGCGGTCGTTTGCTTTTAGTATGCACAGATGACTGACTGACTGAGTTTGGTTTTACGCCGCTTTTAGCAATATTCCAGCAACATCATGGCCCCACACAGATGATGAGGAGATGGTGTTTGCAGTGGTGTGTGTACGTTGATGTGATCTATTCGTAATAGCTCTGTTTCAAGTCTGTGAGGAAAATTGTGCTAGATAAATAAGATGAACTAATAAATGAATAACATTTTAAATATTGTTTCAAAAAGATGCATTAATAAAATATATTTCTCTGTTAAACCTACATATTAACTTGCAAATTATTGTGAGTTATTGACTAGTAGTTCATGATTAGTATATAAGTATATTTAAATGTTGGATATTCTACCAGATTTGAAGCTAATATAATCTCTTTTAATTCATGAACTTATGTCTTTTAATTTTATAGCCATTATTCCGTTTGCTTATGGACATAACATTTGTCGGATATCCCAACTGAATACTGACTGCTTTGTAAGTTGTCAGCTCATTGCCACACAGTGGTAAGTTGGGTGTACATATTGTATATATTGACTTTATATCTTGACAATTTGTGGAGACAGTAATGTGTCGGCCTCCAAAGTATACATTTTAGTTTTCCCAAGTTATTTTTTCAGTTTACCTGTAGCTACTGCTCCCTTTCTATATTCACGTATAATTCATAGATACTATGTGATATGTCTGATGATATTAATCTTTCTCGTGTTTTAATAGTATTTTTACATAATATTTGCGTGGCAATGTCTTATTTTACATTTTATTTATTTGTGTAAGTACAGTATCATCTTTAAACAGTTTGGTTGTGGTAGTTCTATTGGATTAGGCTTTTATTAGAGGATGTTTGGTATTTGTCTCCAGCTTGATTGTCACAATCTATTGGGAATCTATTGTTTTATTGTGGGGGAGCAGGGTGTTCTTTTGTTCTTAACTCAGAGGGCATGTTATTCCTTGATTTCTGATTGGTCAGTTTAATGTTGTCTGTTTTCTCCACTAACATCATCACATTTTAAATTAGTCTACCACCTAAGCTGCACAAGAGACACCTTAAACATATGACGTGACATTTTGACGGACGTCTAATTTCTCTTCTTTTTGGTCACAATTTCCCTCTGTTCCAGGTCAGTTAACTTAATTATAAAACATATTATGTAGGTTCTAATATTTAAGTGTAGTTATATTATAAATATTATTCTTACTTAGGTTATAATATTGAGTGACGTGAAGGCATGAATGTGTTTTAAAAATAGTGTCAGTCAAATAATGTGTGTTTTAAGGCATGATTTTCAGGTTTACTGCATCAGGATTATTGTCATAAGTCTATTAGTATTAAAGTACCATGTTATAAAGTCAGGCAACACATGAGCATTTGTGCCTGCTCAACAGCCATCTTTGTCGGCCATGTTGTATACTTGTTGATACATGTAATGTTTGTGCCACTTGAAATCCTATATTATTTTAATAACTGTTTATTGTATATATTTGTAAGCATATCACAGATAATGTTGTACTGTAAGGTATATATATATTAATTACGCAGGTTTGTTTTATAGAATGATGTATGTTTTCTTGTGATATTCGAATAGGTTAGCAAAATATACTTAAAGGTATGCTATTACTTATAGATGGGACATGTTGTTTCACAAAGGTAGACGATGCTCACTTGTTGTATATACCTCTGTTAAATCGAATTTTCGATCAAAACGTTTCTGGGGGCGTGGCCGAAGAGAGTTTCCGATCATAATTTTCACCCAATCTGAGGCCTCTGTTGAATCGAATTTTTCGATCAAAACAGTCCGGGGGGCGTGGCCGAAGAGAGTTTCCGATCATAATTTCACCCAATCTGAGGCATCGCCATTATATTCCTTTTCGGTGTTGTGCCTATAAAGTACTGGTGAGGTTTTCGCGTCGACTCATACCTCTGGTAGACGTCGATGTTAAACATGACTTCAGCGGTTAAAGATGTCCCGAAGTCTCTCTCAGCACAAGTCGTAGTGGAACCGAATTCGCGTTGTCATTTGGAATTAGGTGACAAAGTGTATGTGTCGGCCAAGATGTGGCATGGCAATCTGGGTATACATATCAGAAAATACGTCACGTATCGTAACGGCAAGTTTTATCCTACCAAATCGGGTCTGAGTCTGAACTTGAAGCAATGGCTCAGTTTACCCGATGGTTTCGTACAAGTGGACGAAGCTAGGAAAGAAGGGACTGAGGGGCGCAGTATTCATCTGGGGGGGTAATCTCTACCTTACCTTAGAAGATGACGGAGTGGATTTTAGAAAGTGGACTTGGGATCACGAAACTAAACAGCTGACAGATGAAAAAGGAATTATTCTTTCTAAGGATCAATGGGAGAGGCTGAAGAGTTACATTCCGGAGATGTTTGACTATGTTCCCGAATTGAAAGACATGATTCCTTGTATTCTTCAAGAGGATCACCAAAATCAGGAGGGTTATCTGAGGTGTAGCTTCTGTAACCCCAACGATTATTGGAACTGGTAGATACCACGTGACAGGAGGATGAAATCCCGTGACATTGTACAAAGTTAGTCATTCGCTTCGTAGACGGGGCACGGTAGTTAAGGACGAATGTCACGTGATTCGGATCACGAATAATAACTCGTGTTCGTTCGTCTCGCCATTACCTCCATAGACGTTGGACAGCAAAGACGTGACTTAGTGCGTCTCTGCGATTTGAATATGGAAGCGTCTCACAGGGATATTCTCAGACGGAACCAGGTGGGACTTCGTGGGAAGTATACGCCCGTGTAGAAGGCGTGGTACAAAAAATTGATAGAGTGTAAAGTCTTAACCAAATTCATGGAAGCCGAAATTATGGAAAAATATCAAACGACTTACGATCGTATTAGAGAACTCTTGTCTATTTTGCCAAGACGCAGCGGACCCGGAGCTTACACCGCCTTCTGTAAAGCGTTAGAGGAATGCGAAGAGTCGGACGCATTGAAGTTACTGGGTACGGAAACTGGATCGGACTTCAAGAATACGATGGACGTCTGCGGTTATCTCGACCAGCATGTGGTTGCCGATTGCGCTGCGACATTGTCCCCAAAGCTGGATTCGAATTCGTTCGAGAAAGGTTGGACTCCTTTAAGAACTGGCCTATTCAAATGAGTCAAGACCCACGAGATATGGCTCACGCTGGTTTAACTTATCTGAACAGAGGAGACTCTTATGCGATGTTTCAAATGCGGCATACGTCTGAAGGAATGGAAGAGCACGGACAATCCGTGGATCGAACACGAAAAAATGGTCCCCGACTGTCAATACATCAGAATGGTAGGAGTGTTCCAGACCGGAAGTAGAGAGAGACTTTCCCAAACTCATCGTTTGTTTCCATAAATATATCTATGTATGTCCATACACGAATGAATGCTGTGTACATATGTACTCGAATAACTTAGGTTGTATAAATAAAAAATAGTGCTTTCTTATATTTGTGTCAAAGAGGTTCATTGGTTCGCTGTATAAAAGCGACGTTTTAGATATCAGTCGTTAGTTTGTCGTCATGGCTCCGTGGGAAGAGTACCTGAGCAAAATGTATTACGACCCGAACATCCCGGTAGTTATGCGGTCCTAAGAAACTATATGAAGCGGTGAAAGCCGAGGGACGTTATAAAATTGGCTTACATAGAATCAAGAAATGGTTGAAGGAACAAGACATTTATACCATGACTCATCAGGTCAGACGAAAATTCCCGAGAAATGAGTACATGGTTGAAGGTTTAGACAGTTATTGGCAATCTGATCTTATGGACATGACATATTTAGCCAAGTACAACGATGGAATCAAATATCTGATGGTCGTGATAGACTTGTTCTCCAGATATATCTGGGTCTTTCCACTCGAGAGTCTACCAAGGGGCAAGAAATGGTGAATGCGTTGACTGAGTTATGGAATACTCGAGGTCGGAAGCCTAATATTTTCAATCGGATATGGGGTCAGAATTTAAGAATCGTTGGGTTAAAGTCTTTTGAAAAGCACAAAGTGACACAACTATTTACTCTGAACGAAACGAAAGCCCCTATGCCGAAAGAGTCATTAAAACCATCAAAATGAGGTTGTACCGATACATGTTGAAACCTGTTACTCATCGGTATATCGACATTGTACCCAAAGTAGTTGAAAGTTACAACAACACGAATCACAGAATGTTAGGTCAAACGCCTAAGAGCGTAACTAAGGCCAACGAGTGAAGTAAGACTAAACCAATATTTGATCAAGACGAAAAGGACGGAAACCAGTGAGAAAGAACGCCAAGCGAAATATACCTTCCGGGTGGGAGATAAAGTAAGAGTGAGTCATCTGAGGACAGACGTTCGACAGAGAATACCAGGAGAAATGGTCGGGTGAAATCTTTACCATTACTAGTCGCTACTGGTCTCAAGATAACAACTTGTACAAATTGAAAGATTGGGGAGGTGATCAATCGAAGGCACCTTTATGCCGCTGAACTTCAATCCGTTACCGAAAATCCTGATCAAGAATACAGGATACAAGAAATAATCAAAGAAGAACACGAAACAAACGGAAAGAAGTTTTGGTGAAATGGCTTCATTGGCCTAAGAAATATAACTCGTGGATTCCTGAAGAGGATGTGAAGCAATATCAGACCTAAATATATAAGCTAACTCTACCGAGTCACATCAGTAGTGATGGAAGATGCGGAACAAGTCACACCTATGACAGCGAGTCACCGATCTGAGAGTTGGACATTTTGGGGTAAAAAGTCGCCAAAGCGAAACTGTCTTTTCTCCCAGATTATCATCATTTATTTTGTGGTCATCACGTGCATCGTCAACTTGTCCTTGAACCGAGGCAATTCCAACCTGTGGACGGCCCTGTTGAGCAGTTCTCTGGGCTATTTACTTCC